CCATTCGATTGTCATTCGCAATACGCATCAATCATAACAACTTGTTATCCCGTTTTGCATGGCACCATCTCATGGTACCATTTTTATGCAGTTGGTAGCAATTAATTCGCTGATGTGCGTTTTATGTGATCCACTTTGGTTGTTTTTGAATTTGTAATTCCATTACCTTCCTGCGTGACATGGTAAGCTTGCGTCATAATCCATTGTTTCATTATAGCCGACTAAAAATTAATCTGCACTTTCCTCTTCGAGTTTGTTAGTCTAGGAACGACTATACTATTTAGCTCACTCCTGCCCCCAAGTTTTCCCTATTTAATACCAAGTTGAAGACCTAATTTATAATTTGCATTGCGTGATACAGGCAGCATTTCCACGCAGAGAACGTAACGCAAACGAAACTGCGTTCGCCAATCTTCCCTAAAATCGAAGTACGCAGGTTGGTACATTTAAAGGGTAAATTTGAGGTACTCGTTTTCCGAATGGGTTGTGACACTCAGCCTCAAACTATCCCACGATCCATAGTGAGGTGAACCTCGTTCAATCCTGTCAACATGACCGCATCCGAAGCGCAAACTTAAGGAAGATGCTTGGAACCGATCGAGGTCATGAGTTCAGATGTTTAGAAAAAATCGGTTAGTTACCTACGGTGGCTAGTCAAACGTCAGTTATATAAAGTGCTAAACCAACAGTAAAGACCCACAACGGAGTGGATAAAGCACAAGGTTCCAAGGGCACTCTTTTCGACAACTCTCAAGCAGGCGTTTACAATTATAAAATGGAAAGATGAAACATTATTAGCTGGTGAAGCGCGGTAGTGATTGGTGCATTCAGAACGAGGCAAAAATTGATCTGTATCAATGGATAAATTGCTCGGTCTACGCAGACATCACAGCACCCGTAAGTAGGCATAGACACACCCGTAGCCAGGAAAGAGAGCACTCGTTGTTCGACTGATCGAGTGACTCACCCATTCCCGGTCGTTATCAGCGAGTGGAGTAACAACAGTCAGCAAGTATGTTCACCCCAGGGCAGAAGGAGCACTTGAAAAGCGCCTCCTGTTTGCATAGCTAGGGTTGTGCTAGCCTGATTGCAATGGGTTCGGCGGCCCGTAACATTCATTTTCTAAGCCCTCTGAAGTAGCACATTGACACGAAATAAAATAGTTTGGAAGCATCGGCGGTTCTAATTTGGTCTCCACTTTAGACCAGATGTTCTAGGATGGAGGTCGTGATGTAGTTGACGGTAACTTTCCACAACGCCGTGGGACAATGCTGCCCTATCCGTTTAGACTACGGATGTCCAGACATTTTGCAAGGAGAGTCAGATATTGTGAAGTACGAATATGTCGGCCATATTCAGTCTGGCATTAGGAAAATAACAAAAAGTAAACATGTACGAAAAAATTTCAAGCCCGAACTTATTATTTTATGGTGAGGCAGCGGGCCAGTTGAAATGTTAACGCAGGCCGCGTTTGGCCCGCGGACAGGACTTTGGACATCCCTGGTTTAGACAGACGTCTAGTATCTCATACCACAGGTACAAGAAACTGATATAGAATTTACGATTCGGAGTGCACCGCGATTCTGTCTTTGAGACGCTGGGCAACGAACGGCGCGGTTTCTTCAATAACGTGTGCATAGACAGCTGGATAGGCACGAGCTACTATAGTGGAAACCCTTTTGTTTGGCAAATCGAATGCAATACCGCTGACTGAAACTGACAGCAACACATCTTTCTTTGCAACAGTTGCAATCACTTTACGACGATCATGAACCACTGAGTGCTTTCGGATGAACGGGCTGGGTAAATGATTTCCTGCAGCGTTTGGAGTATGCTTCCAGTGTCTCTGAGCTGCAACTTATGGTAGCGCGAAAATATCAGTAAAAAACCAGGTCCCGTTTGTACTTCAAGGGTACAAAACTGAGAAAATGCATGTATTGACCGACTCATGTCGTTTTCCGAAACGCATGTCCTTCTAACGTGTTGTCTACCTTTCTACTTCGTAGAACGTCCAAGAAGACCAGTTTACCATCCTTCTCGATTTCACTGGGGAACTTCAACGATGGATGCACACTGTTTAACTGGTTCAACAGATTGGAAACATCTGTGCCTGAATCACATAGTATAGATGTGTCACCCATGTGTCGACAATAGAAATTTGCTGATGAGATGCTGGCTTTTCTAAGTCCATGTGCAAGTATAGCGAGGAAAATCTTAGCAAGAAGCTGTCCCAGGGAAGACCTCATTGCGACTCCGTCGAGCTGTCTGTAATAGATCCTGTCAAATAAAAATTGTCTGTTTTAGGTGTATAAGTAATCACAAAGTAATGTATCAGTCTCTGTCAAAGGGACGTTCGTAAAAAGTGACTCGATGTACAAAGACAACCTTATTTTGCCATTTAAATCCATGCATTCGACTTGTTGCACAAATTCGACTGCGTACTTTTACAATGTAAGTGCATAACTCGTTGAATACTGGTCTTAGCAAATATATTATCCATTTCGCAACAGAGTGAAAAGCAGAGGTTGACATGTCAATTATCGGACGTAAATGGAGCAGTGATTTGTGCATTTTAGATAGCCGGGAAAGTCGGAGTGGATAAATACCGTAGGAATTCTGTGCAATGAAGACACCTCAGAGGATACTAAACGAGAATAATATAAGGGCGATTTTCCATTGAGGTCAAACTCTGTTTTCAAAGCTGGTGCACCTGAAGGACTCTCTTTTGTAGGATAGGACAACAGTGTTTGTAAAAATAAATGTAATTGCTGAGGCTGATGTTCCTTTCTTGATGTTTCTTCACTGCAGTTGAGCTAAACCAACATACACTTTAACCAGGTCATTTTAAGCTGGACAAAATTCATTCCCCTTTATTTGTTTTGTTCTGCCTACCTGAATAATCTATTAACTGGCCACGTTACTTACGCTGCTTGCGCTTATCTTCGGTAACTTTGTAGCGTTTGCAGCATTTTAAGTAACTTGTGGACATTTCTTACTTATCGTGGATTCGTTCCTAACCAACTTATTTCATATGGTAATTTAACGAAGAGTTATGCTACCGGATCTCTATGCATTATCGGATTTATTTTATTTCATCTTGTTGTTTCAAATGAATGGCTGTTGCTTGATATCCCCGGTGTGGCTGCGCTTGATGTGCATGTTGACAAGGTGCCTACCTGTCTATTACTCACTACCTCGTCCATACTGTCTCCAGGAGACAGTTGGTGGTTGCTGGAGGGGACGGGGTGCACGGTTCTTGTGGCTGTGTTAGGATCAAAGAGTGGTTCCATGCACTCAGTGTGGAGCGGACTAAGGTCTAGCCACCGCCTTGTGTGCGCTTGGTTTCCCAACTACAGCGTGCTTGTGTTTGCCTGTGAAGGAGTGTGGGCCGGCTCCATTAATGAAACGTGGCCCCCCATCCACATGCCTCCCGGTCTTATTCCTTCGGGTTTACACTGGACATGGGCTGTGTAGTTGTAGCTCTGTGTGGTACGGCGCAAGCCACCCATGGTCCCTGTGTAGGCGCCGGCGTCCTGTGGCTGGCCACAGTGACAGGCGAATCCGAAATCGGATGCCGCCAACCATATACATAGGCCAAACAACGAGAGTTACGCATAAGAATCGCAAAGCACCGGAGTTGCATTTCAAGACCACCGACGAACGATTTTAAGTACCATTCAATATTATGACACTGCCGTGGCTATACATGCATGAGACATGGGTCACCAGATCGACTTGTACAACCTAGAGGTCATTAGGATGGGTATATGATCAACGCCTCAGCGGTTGTTCGCCGAGGCGTTGGAACTTACCAAATCGGACGGCAGTGTGAATACACTGGAAGAGTAAGACGCACTGTAGTGAGTGGCTAATGATCTTAATCCGGTCAGTCAGACGAGCGTTGGTGTGTGGATCGGCTTGGAAAGGGCAACTCGACTCCCATCATCACCATTATTGGCGTATCTGCCAATGACATGACACACAAGGGAACAACTGGATTATTCCCATTGGGATTGATCCACCCGTGGTGATATCACGAACATTGTCATCTTGGCTGAAGGCTCGGATATCGTGGTGCTCGTCGCTATCCGCTATAAATTACCCATCCAATTGTACACTGATTCACCCAGCCTGATGAATATTTTGTGTCAAAAGCGTTGCACCACAACTATACCAACCGATTGTTATCAGACCACGCCGCACTCAGCTAAATGTTAGTATTTGCGTGCACATTCCGTTCACACCACAGCCGCTCCGAAATAAACCCTCCATTGAGGCATTGACCGTTGTGGCAAGCAATGCCCGGCGCGACTGCGTGCCTCAGGATTATGGTTGCAGCCCAAACGTCCCTGGTGCGAGTCGGAGTGCTGTTTTCTCTATTTGGCGAATGCAAAACCAGTCGTAGGGCGCAGTGTTGGCAGCCAACCCCACCTGAAATGTAGGCAGATCCATACTTACTTTTGAGTAACAACCATGCGGAGTCCGCAGTCAATGCCTAATGTTTATGGCAGCGTTTATTTTTCAACGTGCGATTCTTACTCAAATAAACTTGTGGGACATCATGTTTTATTCGCTTGTACTCATAACAAACTATCGTTCCGTTGTTCCAATAAACAATTGAGCATCATTCATATTGTTCATCAACTGCCAGTAACCAAACATCTGTTTCCTCCGGATGACTGTCCAGAAGAGCAGCATATCACGATAGCGAATGTGACGTAATATATAGACAGACTGACCAACAAAGTTTGTTCGAAAATGAGTGTTACATCCAGCTAAATAGACACGCGTTATACCAAGTGACCAGCGAGATGTTTCGCGTAAAGTCTACCAAAGTTAATTTACAGTCTGTTCACGAAATCATAGCACCGAAAATTGCCAAATACCCCATCTGTAAGGACAACTCGCCTCGATCATTCCAAGGGTAGATGTAAACCAGACAATTAATTCACTTCAATTCTGAACGTAATATGGCGAAAAGAATACTCGAGATTCCATACCTGAAAGTTCTCCGAGCTGATGCAGCATGCTAGATGCATAAAACTTGGACGCAAAATAACTCTGAAGTTATCGGAGTCACAATACTCAATGCAGGACTCCAACTCATCCAGAAAGAGCACCTCTTTGTAGGAGTTAGTTCGAGGCCAAAAACGAAGTATTCCCTCAAGTATGATCTGCAGAATAAAATCAAGTAGGTCAAGAAGTTGGAAGCATTTACAACCTTGTATTTATTGGGAGAAGGTGTTCGCCTGTCATATAACCGTACTACAAAGAGTGTACCAAACTGCGCCTTAATATGCAGTCTCGCTGTGAAAGGGACCTTGGAAGAATTATTTAGTTTTTGTATCTGCGTGTCATGGATAAGTGTTAAATATCACTGGTTTTTCCGAATTGCAGTCCACAACAGACCTGCTCTTCGTTATGATCTTAAAGCAGTTATAGCGAGGGCGGAACTCGCACCTGACTCCCTCTATCCCAGCAATCCAACCCTGAGAAAACCGCTTACTCTACCTGGTTTCAATGCATAAGAAAAAAGTGGAACCTGGATTACACCAGAACAAAAGAAATATCCCTGCAGGTGGCGAATCACGAAAACGAAGGGAGTTTTTCAAGACATGTTAATCTACGAGGCATCTGACACGCATGAGTATCGACATCAATCCAGTGTACCACATGCTTAGTTAAAGTGAACGCAAGTGGCTTGAAACCCGTCTTGGAAGCCAAACAAACCACCAACAGAACACCATCGCGAACACCGCTGAAGCAAAAGGTTCTTACGCAGTGAGTAACTCTACTAGAGTCTTTCAGTAAAAAAGTGAAAGTCACAAGGAGCAACTATAAAAGATCAATACAAATCTAAACACCTTGTCCATCTGCGTTCGACTGCTATAACATTGAGATTGCTGTCCACACAGTAACCCATTACGGATCTTAGCTTGTTTAATGAGAAAACTTTTGCAGTTCAAATACCAAGATCGGCGAGCACATGAAATCCGGCGTATTTGTTTGACCTGTGTACTAAGGCTGATAATTCTCCATTGGAATACTCTTTTTACTTAGCTTTGTAGAAAATTACCTTGGGTAGTCATATTCTAGGTTTCACAGTGCCAGACCTAACCGAGATGACATAGGGGACTACTTTGGCCGATTGTTAGTGAAGTCCAATTAGTACGAGCTCATGAACCCACCTCTGATCTTGACTTTGTTGGCGATATACTTTACGTAGCTGTATATACCTATAATGATTATTATTTCTTTGTGAACCATAACAGGAAACGTATCTTTAATTACCAACTTTCCTGGAAGTGCATGAGCAGATTTAGAAGAGTTGCCATGTAACCAGCAGGCTAATTGCTGGTAGTTTTTGATTATCCGGTAGCAAATGTAAAACAATACAGTGCTTTTGGGAATGTAAAGCCGAAATACGTACATATGAGCTTCTCAACTTAGACAAGAAAGCGCTTTGCTATACTACGTTAAACCCGTGCGTTATCATTTAACATTGTTCAACAATTAGGTTTAAACTAGTTCCACTCAGTTTTTAAATGATACGTTACAACAATAAATTCCCTCTAAATCAATGATTAATCAGATGCAGCAAAAGTTCAAGCTTAGCAAATACGAAAGTATGTTTACGCAAGCAACAAACTTGCGATAAGCCAATCACGGTTCTTCACTGCGGCATTATAAATGGTCCTAATAAGCGGCCATTCGCATATAGTTAAGAGAATATTTTCTTTTTCCTACCTCTCACCTTAACTGTTATATTTCTGACAAACGTTAAGGCCAACTTGCCTATCTGTTTCGCTGTTTATTTACTAAAAGTAGTTTACGAAATTTTATCGTGCCAGGTCAGATCAGTGCTCGTTTTCCGCATAGAATAGCATAGAATAGCTAGCATACTTACTGGATGAATAAGGCTGTTATCTTTTTTGATGTACTCCATGATACAACTCATCAGATGATAATGGTAGGTTGCCACAGACGGAGTTTTGTGTAGAGGAAGAAGGATTTTTCGCAAAAATATTTCATGATCACTTTTCAGCGGCAATTGGAATCCATTAATTATGCTGTGGATGAAAAGTAAGAGTCTGATAAGAATCCACAACAACTAACGTTGACCTTGCAAAATGCAAGGGTGAAAATCAATGATCCACATCTCACATCCAATATGCTGTCAACTACACAACCGAACCGTATATATAAAAAGCTCTCTTACTGGATGCCTTTCGAATGTTGAAGGATTGGTTGAAAGAGAAGCAAAATCGAACTAGCACTGCCTAACGGAACTCCTCCTAACTTTATTCCTGTAGTGACTGTAAACGGTCATCACAAATATATAGGCAGATATTCGGTACTCATTTTCTTAAACGCCATTTATTAATGAAAGTAAAGTTGCTGCACTTGTTCGTGTTTTTGTTCCACACCTGTGGTAACTGACAAACTCAGAATCAAATGCAATAAACTCCATTTAAACCTCATGAAATCGATAAGCGGTATCCTGTGGCTTACTTTAGTAACGCGGTTTACTCACATCTGTCCTCTGGCCTTGGAGTTAAGTTAGAGATCGGACCAAAATTCTGGTGAAGTGTGTCATGAAACAGCATAGATACCTGCCACTGTTCAATGGACATGAAAGCTGAGAACAAGAATATGATAACCAGAAGTAAAAACTGCAGTGTGAAGCTGACTATGTTGGTCTCTAAGGAGGCCTGTCTACTGATAACTGGTAATATAGTTAAGTAGGAAATGTGGGGTCCCACATACATTCAGAATGAAAATTGCCCGAACCGTAGTCCTCTGGGTTGTGCTGGATAGCTGCATCGTCCATCAGAACCGATAGACCAATGTTTAATCGTCTTTAAGCGCAGAGTCGTTCTTCATAGCTTGGCGTGCGCCACGAAAGCCAGGTTTGTAAACGTTGAGCGAAGTTTCGCTTAAGTCGAAGTAGCATCTTAAACTGAAATCAGTTATTAAAACCTCATCATGTATGTGAGATGCTTACTTTCATCTTTTTACCCGTACTAAATGCTTATCCAATTCAGCGGATGGACGTGGTGATTGGGACTGTTTGATCATGAAAGATATATCAGAGATATGTGTAAACATCATAAGATCACTTCATGCACGCAGTTCTTGTACGTTAAGGATTTAGTACAAGCTGCCGCTACCCTTCGATATCTCCAATAGCGGGAGACTGATGTCAGCTGCCAACCTTACATTTTTACTTTGTCATAAGCAGATTATGCAGAATGCGTACAGCAGACGCGGTTTGGAAGCGTTAGAGCCGCTGTCACGTGATTGGCTACTTGAATCGGAGTATCCGGATTACATTGTCTTCATTTGTGAAGCTCACAGAAACGCCATGCAGTACTGGACAAAGTAACACTGGCTATCAGGCGGTTCAGCCTATGCGTGGCTCTCTGGAAAGGAAAGACCTTTTACCAAGATTGACAGGGACCACTCTTGTGCTTACCACGGCTAGGGATAAGCGAAAATTCACTCAGAAATTCCAATCTCTGCGAAACTATATCCACACGCGTAGAATAAAAGATGAAGGTATTAACCGTAAAAAATTTTTTGCCCATCTCCGCCATTTGTGGTACTTTTCAGACATCAATCTCACCACGGGGAGTAGTGTGTAACATATAGTCGTCCGCTCAACCCCCCTAAACAGTTGGCAAACTTCGCGCATCAAATCGACAAACATAAGGACACCAGTGGCGTTCGACCGCCGGTGCATTCAGAGATTAACTTACACTTAGTAGGAACACCGAGAGTGTAATGAGAGGGTATGGTGTCTTATCTATTGTTCAGAAAGAACAACGGTAGCGTTCAGCACCATTATTTCACGCAATATTCTCCGGTGGCTGGGTCATGTTATGCATGCCGTCACACTGATTCGCACAGCGTGTGTTGTTAGTGCTGCCGGCATTTTGATGGAAAAAGAGGATGGGTGCTCAACCGAAGACAAGATCAAGAGGAATGAAGTCACTCACTTTGAATTTTGCCTCAATGGAAGCCACTTGGCTTCACCCTTGTGGTCTGCTAGGAGGGTACGGTTTCTCGAGTGCATACCAGTAGAGATCGTAAATCGTGTTCACTCAAACACTTACCTCAGAGACCTGAACGAGTTGAGCTAAAGGTCAAACTCCGCTGATACCAACGGTCAGATTTTAACACACCTGGAAGATCGGATAACAGACTAGTGTTGATTTGAAATTAATGCCCTTGAGCGATCGAACGGCAACCAGCACAGGTTGTACGGTGTAATATTAACAGTTCAGCTTCACGTTTTGGTGTTGAATAAACTGCAGTGTTTGTTACGTACACACCGTGCTCGTTCTTCCTTACTGGTATACTGGCCCACGCTCTACTCTAGCAGAGCCGATACAACTGGGTCCGAATAATGATGAACATATTTAGTTGGACACAAATGTTGACGTCCTTTAGAGCTGACATTCGTTGCTTGGTTTGTGAGGTTTGTTCCACCCAACCGTAAATAACCTTCCCATCCAACCAAGATCCCGTTGTCAATGCACAAGATAAACAAGCCATAACCATTGAGCTCAAATAGCTGTAAGTAGTAGGGGATTTCCTAGGTTTTGTGCAGCTTTGTCGTAGTTAGACACAGAAAGACAACCGCCACACCTCCAGGAAAGCGCCAGACGACCGTTTCGTCCTATTGCGACCCGTCAGTAGCGCGCATCCGCCGAATGCTGCCGGATTCGAACCCACGACATTACTCTTTCGAGCCAACGAATTATGTCACTGAGCCATGGGTGACGGCAGTGGACCACCATGACTGATACCTAACTGCGATATAGCGCGGCTCATCCTCCACTGTCTTGCATGTTATGAAGGTGCAGAGGACAGGGCTGGCCCCCAGAGCACCGACTTTCTTTGTAAGCCGCCACCAATCGAGGTGGCAAATATGCTTCTAAGGCGGCTACTGAGTATTTATAAGTAGGAGAGGATTTAATACGTTTTTGTGTGGATTCGTCGCACTTAGCCACAAGCAGCCACCATACATCCAGGAAAGCGCTAGACGGTCGTTTCTGCTTATTGTAACCGTCAATAACGCGCACCCGCCGAATACTACCGGATTCGGACCCACGATCTTACTCTTGCGAGTCAGCGAGTTAATACATTGAGTCATGAATGAAGACAGCGGACCGCCATGGCTAATCCCTAACTGCCATATAACCCGGCTCATCCTGGTGGCTCTGTCTGTGTCTAACTGCGACGTACCTACACACAAAGCTAATAAATAACCATACTACTTACAAATAAGCAGTAGCCGCCTTAGAAGCATACTTGCCACCTCGATTGGTGGCGGCTTTTAAAGAAGTCGGTGCTCTGGCGGCCAGTCTTATTCTCCGCACCTTCATAACATGCAAGACAGTGGAGGATAAGTCGCACTATATCGCAGTTAGGGATCAGTCATTGCGGTCCGCTGCCGTCGCCCATGGCTCAATGACATAAGTCGCTGACTCGCAAGAGTAATGTCGTGGGTTCGAATCCGACAGGATTCGGCGGGTGCGCGCTACTGACGAGTCGCAATAGAATGTCTAGCGCTTTCTTGAATGTGTGGTGGCTGTCTGGCTGCGTCCAACTGCAACGAATCTATACAGATCTTAAATATATTTGTGTTTTCTCTCTTTCGTCGTGACCTGTTTGAATAAGTTTGCAGCACATTAGTTGTGGCATTTGTCACCATCAACTAATGTGCGGTGTTTTTCTTTTTGTTGCTTTAGTGTTCCGCTTCTTTTTGAATGTTTTCTGTATTCAATGCGGCGTGGTTGCTATGGTTTTTGGCCTTCAGCTCACGTGTAGTGGTGATGACGCTGAACAAACGAGTAGAAGGTCTGCGTATAGAATCTCTAAAGCAACCTGAGTAGGTGACCATCCTCGATGGGAGATTTAAAGACCGGTTTCAACCTAGCAGGATGATTTCTAAACAAGTTGCGTCGAAATTAGTTCTCCATGCAGTCACTGAAAATCCCTTTCATTTCGAAACACTGGGTATGTCATTCCAAATTTCTAGTACAAAGTTATCATCACGTTATCATCACTAGCTGCGTGTCATATTTGACGGCAAGGTTTGCATCGTAATTTGATGCCGAAACGTATACGCAGGGTGCATTGCCGAGCGACTTTAAATGCTCGGTTTTGAAGCCGATTCCAAAAGGCGGGGACCCGCGCAATGTAGATAAGTACTGGCCAATTTGTCTCATCTCTGTTTTGGCATGGGTGCTCGAGAAGATTGTGAAAATGGGCCTTCTTCAGCTGCTAGAATCAAAAGATCTCTTGACGTCGACACAGCACAGCTTCATGAAGGGCCGCTCGTTCATCGCCAACCTGCTGTTGATGCGGCAGGAACGGCTGCAAGGGTTTAATCTACGGAACGCAGTGGATGTTATTCACATTGATTTCAGTAAAGCTTCGATAAAGTGAACCATGAAGTCCTTCTCCACAAGCAGGGTATCTGTAGCGTTGGTGGCGCACTGCACCAGTGGAGCAGTGACTTCCTTATTGGAAGAAGATGGCGGGTTTATGTAGATGACCACATAACGGAATGGTACCCTCCAATAGCGGTTACCCCAACGCACAGTGCTAGGGCTGATTTTATTCCTGCTCCACATAAACCTATGCCTCAGCTTCTTTGGTTGCCTTGTGCCCTGTTTGCAGATGACTTAAAGCTTTGGTGGGTTATTGATTCTCCCGACGACTGTGACTTCCTTCAGCAAGACCTCGACCGCCTTTCCTCGTGGTTTGCCGAAGTTGACCTACCGGTCAAACCCAGCCAAGTCCTCATTTATGTGCATGGGAAGGGGTGGTAATGGGTGTGCGTACACCCTGGCCGGCCACGCGCTGCATCCCATCACTTCCGTAATGGATCTAGGCGTACTCACACGATGTGATCTGAAGTCTGTCGACAACACGAACAGACTGTAAACAAACGCATTACACCTGCTTTGGGCACTGAGACGCAGCTTCTGCACTTGGCCTGCAGTGATTGCCACTCACCTGTTCTCATCCATGATAAGGCCGGTTCTTGGGCACTGCTCACCCATCTATTCTCCGAACACAATAGGTGAGGTGCAGACACTGGAACGGGTTCAGCATGTAGCTACCCGGCTCATCTCCAGTATACGGGTAGGTCGCACGACGACCGAGGTAGGAGACTAGGGTTGTATATCCTGTCATATCGTCGCCTTCGAGTTGATCTCATTATGGCGCACCGGATACTGCTCCTGGGCCACTTCCCTATGTTGAAACCGCTGCTGCACGTTCACGCGCCAAGCAGAACACGTGGACACCTGAACAAACTAGTGGATTCGGATTTAAAGCCCATCACTCATCCTCTATGCTTCGAGCATCGAGTAGTGAAATATTGGAACAAATTGCCGGACACGCTAGTTGAGACGATATTGGTGTCGGAATTTAAGAGATTCCTTGAAGTCCACATTTTGGACTACAGATATAGGGAGCGGATCGCACCCGGATAAAGTGTAGTGCAGCTGCAATATGCTGCCACCATGCAGGAAGCAGCGACGTGATTCCGCGCATGTCCCCGATCCACCTATAATAGCGCAACAGAGGTTTACAAGTTTCTGCTTGTTATTCGTAGTATCCCATACTCTATAGGATTACTTTTGATAAGATTTGCTTGCAAACTGCGGTCTCACCTTATAACATGTAGCGAAATTGACAGGGACGGGTGTTTTACTAAATGATTTTGTTGTTCAAATTTCCGAACGGATGCTTTGGCTAATTCTTTGGAACGACAATGATCTCTATCCCAAATAGTTGGCATTCTGGTGCGCCAGACAGCTGAGTCTGAGGCAATTTTATTTGCTTTCCTTGTCTATGAATGGATCTATTTGTCGCCCATCCGGTTACAGACGAGTTAAATAAAATATAATGCGTCAGCTGTACACCTTAACGACGCTTCGCTGCCACGCGACCATCAGCAGTTGCGCGTGGACTGAGTATACCGCGAGGACGCTCACCCCTACGCTGATTCGAACCGGTGACCTTATGATCGCAAGCTAGGTGTGTAGATCGCTCGGCCACCGGATGAAAAATGTCACTAATTAGGTTCCCTTATCATGTCATTGCGCAAGTGTAAAGTTGGTTTAAACCATAGGTTTTACTTCTCCCGTATCATAGGTTCAATTTTACCTATTCTCGCAACGAATACTTCACTAGCGAGGTTGCCGTTTCGCTTGCTACTAATAGGTTTTCTGATACTGAAATATGATCACCTTTACTTGGTAACATTGGAACATTTGCGCACCTAAACGTCAGCCCTCGGTAGCTCAGGTGGTAGAGCAGCGGGCCGGAAATTCGTTGGGCCGGGGTTCGACTCCCCGTCGAGGCATACTATTGTGCGTGAATTTTAATCGTGACTTCTACTTTCTACAAACATTGGAACACTTTTGAATAGGATCCGTTTTGATTTCGATCCCCTGTTTGTGTAGTTAGTAATCACCAACTGGTTGAGAATATGGATCAAAAATGGCTTGGTATACACAGTGGCTAGCATTAAATGCGACGGCGTGTGTTAATTTACGGAATAAATGTTGGAAATGGAGTCATACTTCCAGATTATGCTAATAAATACCTTAATTTTATCATATATTGTTCGTACCTTTCCATTATCTGCAACAATTCTCGTATGCCATTGTGGCTGTCCTCTTCGTAGATGAACCTGTCAGGCATATAAAAAACGATCAATGATGTGGTCAACTTCCACAGAATATTTATGTTTCCTTCCTTCCACCACCGTGCCTTAAATGAACACCAAATTCCTCTGAGGCGACTAGTAAAACGATAGAAACTACAAAGTGTTCAAATATGACTGCTGCATGCATAACCGACGAAGACTAAGTGGCTCAAAGTAATAAAAAGTATTAAATATATCTGGGAAAATATACAGTAGAGGCAACCGAGATAATTTTTCTGGCTTTCCATTGTCAGCATTTGGCAACTATACACAAAGCGTGGATTAGTTGATTTGGCCTCCGCAGTAGGTTCTGATAGTACAGATATTAAAAATTCACTTTAATTTCATGTGTCTAAGATTATTTCGCTCACCTAGCACTATCTTTAAACAATGAGCTATCAAGACTGTTAACGGTGAGTGCTATGTGATTACGTGTAAGACTACAACAGTCATATATAAACAAAACATCACATAGCTTAACGGAAAGCGAAAGTTGGATTCAGTGATATTGCATGCGTCACATCTCCATAATCCCACAGGCTATGTTTAGACGTCACTAATGAGTGCTCGCTTTGGATTATTTTGCCAATCTTAAAATGCATGTTCAGCTGAAGCCCTACAGTAGACGCACGTCGCACGTCCAAATTCCGCGTGAAGCTGCCAGCGGAAATTCGGTTAAAGGCATCAGGTACGCTGCTACGGATTACCAACGACTCACGGGGAGCGATCAAATTGTTGAACCATCCACTCATGCAACTTTGTGAAGGCATGGATTTATCGAAAACCGCAATAACCCACGAAATACGGCTAAACACGGGGGACCAGCAGGGCCCGGAAGGCCGCGATCAGTCGTCTAACCGAAAGCAAACTCAAAGGCAAACGTCACCACAAAAAAACGGTTAATGGCCGACCCGTTAACGGTCGGCACAAACTCCATTTCTACCACAACCGGTGCTAGCTCACTCTTGGTTACAAAAGCACTATCCTGCATGTATACTAATGCACAAGGCCTCATAAGTAAGTTGGTAGAACTCCGTCACCGTTTGGCTTCGGAGCCTCGAGACATCATAATGATCGCCGAAACCTGGCTGAGCGGCGAAATCACAGACGCTGAGATTGTCATACCGGGTATGTCACTTCTCCGGAACGACAGAACGGGCAAGGACGGTGGTGTGCTCATTTATTTCCGAACGAACCTTCGTTGTGAGCTCATAGACGATCCCCAGACTTGTGTCACCGACGTCCTTTGGTACAAACTGTGGTTGGAACGCAACGACGTATGCCTTCTCTCTGTGGTTTACCGACCACCGAAATCCACTCCGGAAAGGGACAACAGACTTATCTCCGCTTTTCGCTCCGTGCTTAATCAGAAGTACAGCCACATCCTCGTTGCAGGAGATTTCAACACCCATGAGTTGGAAAATCCAGCATCCGAGACAGAAGTGTTCAAGGCATATTTGCAAGAGCTACTCTCTAGCACCTTATTGTATAACCACGTCACCGTTCCAACCAGGTTCAGAACAGGAAACAACCCATCGATATTAGATCTAGTACTCACTAACGAAGAGTTCATGGTCGATGGACTAAAGGTGTGCAGTCCTTTGCGCCGTAGCGATCACGTGACTTTGCAGTTTGATTACATCTGCTACGCCGAATATCCAGCTGCGGAGCTCGAAACGAGGCAATCTGTTACCCAATACCACGTTCTGTCTGCTCTATTTGAGAATACCAGTTAGATGTTTCTAGCTCACTGCACCCCAGAACTAGCCTGGGAGACATTTGCGAACACCATCACGTCACTAGTCATAGAAGCCTCAACACCAAAAGTTTCCCAACATCCCCGCACAGCGAAATCATTCTTGCGAAGCCGGACGCGAAAATGCATGGCTCTAAGGGATCGGGCATGGCGCATGTATAAAAGCAACCCCAGCGCAGCAAACTGGACGGAATACGTTTCGCATCGCAACTACTGTGTGCTTTTGGTTCGCGAAGACAAGAGAAAGCATCAGCAGGAGCTAGCCAAACGATTCTGTTCGAACAAAAAGCTTCTTTACAAACATGTGAATGGACTTCGCAAGGTGCAACGGGGAATCCCACCACTTAATACGACCAATGGGTATACACATACTGCGAAGGAGGCGGCCAACGCATTACGGGCCCAGTACTCCCCAATCTTCCAAGGTGTACAAGCCTCGACGTATATTCCGCCACTAGTTACCCCACCGCCCGTTTTATCCAACGTCATGTTCACTGCAGAAATGGTGCTGCAAAAGCTGCTATCCTTGCGTTCACACAGCTCTCCCGGGGCCGATAACATTCACCCGAAAACATTACAGGTAGCTGCCATCCACTTGGCCTAACCACTAGCTGCATTTTTTCAGCGCTGTTTCGATGAGAACATCGTACCTTCGAGGTGGAAACAAGGTGTAATAACGCCCATATACAAAGCAGGAAGTCGATCGGATCCTGCCAATTACCGCCCCGTAACGCTTCTGCCTGTGATCGCCAAAGTCATGGAAGCGGTGATAGCAGATGCGTTAATGGGATACTTGGAAAGCTACGGCATAATTGCGCCAGAACAGCATGGGTTTCGTCAACATCGTTCATGTACGACGAATCTGCTGATGGCTCGTGACATCTGGACCGAGACTGTCGATGAGGGAACAGGAGTCGATGTTGCATTTTTGGACTTTTCGAAAGCCTTCGATCGCCTGGATCATCGAATCCTGCTCATTAAACTCCAACAGTACGGTATCGGAGACCCGTTGTTAGGATGGATCGGTAACGTTCTCTCTGAACGACAGTTAGAAGTTAGAGTTCGATCATCCTTTTCCGATCCGATTCGAGTGGGATACGGCGTACCGTAGGGTTCGGTACTTGGGCCTCGTTTGTTCCTGCTTTTCATTAACGATCTAGTAAGAGTTATTACGTCGAAATTCTTACTCTTCGCGGACGACCTCAAGGTTTGGCGGGCGATAAAAGGATCGGACGACCATGAAGTCCTACAGCGTGACTTGAATGAGGCCGGGAATTGGTCGGTGAGAAACGCCCTGCCGTTCAATGTGAACAAATGTCGCGTTGTTCATATCCGCCATCGACAAGTCCACGTCTACAAGCTTGGGGCACACGATCTGAAGACCACCACTCAGGAACGCGACTTGGGTGTGCTGGTACAGGAAGACCTCGGGTGTTCCAAACAGTCAGATTCCGCTTCTAAAAGGGGCAACCAGCACGTTGGACTCCTGCGAAGAGCATTCGGAATTTTGGATCCATCCATCTTCTCTTTGATGCTGAATGCCTACGTGCGTCCTCACGTCGAATATGCAATCCAGGCCTGGCAACCCTGGCTAAAACGTGACCTTGCAGCGCTTGAGACCCCACAGCGTCGAGCAACGAAAATCGTCACGGGCTTGCGCCACACTCCTTACCAGGAACGACTGGAGATACTCGGAGTGTTCAGCGGACGGTACCGGCGACTTCGTGGAGACCTCATACTAGTGTACCAGATATTGAGCGATCCCAGTCATGTATGCCGCCACCTCTTGAAGCTCAGCCCGAACACTAACCTTCGCGGTAACAGTTTAAAGCTGAGCCAACAGTACAGTCGTCTAGACTGTCGGAGAACCTATTTCTCCCTCCGGGTCTGCGGGCCCTGGAACGCCCTTCCAAACTCAGTTGTTTGTGCCCCCACATTAGATACGTTTAAAAAACGATTGGACGTCGCACTGAGCGCCCTGCGCTTTGTTTTTTGAACGAAAACGCCTGTATATATTTAGGCTGACCAGCCTCTTTGGATTTATACCCCAAATTCACGGTCGTAAATCTGTGCGAACCGGTGAGTACTCCATTTTTATTTGCTACCATCACCAACGATAACAATTTCTTAGCCAGTTTTGCGTCGTACCACTTTATCCCCCTAAAACTGTTATACTTCTACCTTTTGTCTCACTGACGCTCCTTACTTCAACCACTTATGTGGTTTGCCAATTTGTTAGTATTTCTATTGCCAACCTGCGGGACTCGTTAAGTGTATGCTTTTTTACCCGTCATATACCATTGTTCCATTGTTCCATCCTGCGGATTATGGGACAACCCCTCATATGTTACCACACTTGTTGAATAAACAATCGCGGACAATTCACGATTGTTTAAAAATGCTGATTTAGCATGGTGATCGACAATGCTACTTATGGCGGTTTAAAGCCGAGTGAATCAGCAACATCAGTCATATGATATTCTAATAACTAACATTAGCGGAGAACGACTGAAACCCATCTATTCGATAACCAATGTACCTCAACCTAATCTAGCTCTTTGGTTGGTAAATGTGATTTTTCAGCCAAGAGTTCAGTTCAAAATAAATTATAGAGACTGGCGTGCCTATCGAGCTTCACTAGCCCATCCTGTCTCAACTTTACAGTTTACCATGGTAAACGCCTGATGAGAATGATCGCTAGTTGTGCCATTCACAACCTTGTGTTTTAATAATATGACAGTGACATGTATCCATCGCCTATATCAAGCGTTCACAAATGAAACCGATTGTAAAGGACCAGCAGAACACATAGCTGATGACAAGCAAAGGAAAGGAACTGCCAAAGTTACTCCGCCATAGAACTAACGATCGGATGTCTTTGATCAGAGTACTGACCGATGAGGAGGGTCGCCACCTTAACGATCCACCTGCTATTTGCGAAGCGTTTAGCGCTTTTTTGCTGCTTCCATGAACGTAGAAACCTACGCTATACCTTGCTGCCCGGAACTAATGACAAACATTGGACATAATGCCGAGATTTCTCTTACGACCATCCAACAGGCTATGAAGTCCAACAAACCATCGCTCAACCCAGACTCCGATGGCATCCCCCGATCAGTCATTAAACTCGGTGGGTCTGACATACCATTGCTTTTGCTGAACCTGTTCACCTAGTCGTTAGAAGCTACTTACTTTTCGCGTTACTGGAAAATATCATTTATTGTCCTCG